TGTATGTGTTTGTGTGTGTCTGTGTCTGTGTCTGTGTATGTGCGTGTTTAGATTGATGAAACTTGGGGATAGATCTCTTTGGTATTTTAGTTGAAATCGTTATGACTAAACAGGAGCCACACTGAACCAAATGTTAAAACGAGAGTTGGGGAATCAGCGCTTGGCAGAGTTACCACTGTACGCGACCAACCCACACAACAACACAAGACCTGAGTGAATAAATAGTCAGTTTATCACACAGCCACAGAATGACTGTCTGTCGTCCGTATTTATTCCTATTCTTGCTACTACAGATAAACTCATTTACTGATTAAAGTTGTTATTGCGAATTTTAGTGGCGCTATCTGGACAGAATTATATAATTTAGTTGACTGAGGCATTGATGATAAAGGTTTTAATGAGTGAAGTTTAGTAAGAATAATAGTTTACCAGATGCTAGTATGCAATGTATACGTGGTACGGGTGATTTGATAAGGGTGGATGATAAAGATATTAACGTCTAATATTTGTTTGCCTACCTCTATCTGGCCAGCACGATGAGAGATGGGGATCCTGTCCTGTCCTATCGGGTTGACCCTTGGCATTTTAAAGATAATAGAACATGGTCGTTAGTTGTCATATTCCCTCATTTCACAATTTCCAATGCTTAGTATGTGGCATTTAACGTGATAAGATATTTGTCAAACTTTGTTCATTTTCCCCAAGTTAATACAAACATTTATAAAATAGACTACCGGTGAAAAGAATCTCCTTTCTAGAAAATCTCGAGATGTGTACAAAGCAACAGTTTCTTGCCAAGGATGTGTCCAGTTGCGTTGGAAAGTTACTTCAAAAAGTTAAAAAAAAGTACAAGGCTGAGATCTCAAAATGTGTCATTGTGGTTTGGTTCTGTATGCCAACACGGAAACCTCCAATAGGGGCACGTCTTGTCTCGGAATGACACGAGTTGGTCAGAAATGAGGAAAGAATGTGGTGACGTATGTCGGAAATAGACGAAACCTGTAGAATACGTTCCGATGTCATAAAGGGTGCGATTTGAAGTTAAATTAATGAAAAAATATCGAAGACATAAAGTATATAAATAAAGTGTTTACGTTTGCCAGAAAGTTGATTATACGTAACAAATACGATTTTATTTGCGTAACGCGTATCACATAATAGTCCCGAATACTCTCACAACAGACCCCCGCGTACCATAAGGGGGTTGGCAGGATCATATAATATTATTATGACTGGGTGTTTGGTCGTCAAAAAGGCGTGCAACTGCATTGTTTTAAAATAAAGTTCATAATCCCGTGGTCACCCTATGACCCTATTATCAAATTAAAGTTTTGTTGGTTTGGTTTGTTTTTAAACGCCGCACTCAGCAATATTCCAGCTATATGACGGTGGTCTGTAAATAATCGAGTCTGGACCAGACAATCCAGTGATTGACATCATGAGCATTGATCCACGCAATTGGGATACGATGACATGCATCAACCAAGTCAGCGAGCCTGACCACCAGATCCCGTTATTCGCCTCTAATGACAAGCATAGTCGCCTTTTACAGCAAGCATGGGTTGCTGAAGGCCTATTCTACCCCGGATCTTCACGGGTGTAAAGTAACAGTGGAACCTCGTTGAGTTGAACTTGTGTGGACCTTGGCAAAAGTTCGCGCAATTCCGGGGTTCGAGACAACTAACAAGTGAATTTTCGAAAACTAATCATCAAAATATGAAATATTACATGTTATCTCGTCATCTTTGGTTTCACACCACCTTCAACATCGGTAGCCATGTTGTAACAAATAATGAAATTCATTCATCATGTGACATTGTGTTTAATATTTTATTCACCCATTTGTAACATTGAATACTGATTTTCATTTCATGACAATCGTATAAGTCATAGCTCGAATAATAGCTTCACTAACATAATCTTTATTCGTTTTCACTCATTTCTCAATTTACACGTGTCAACGCTAGTCAAGTGAGAACACTTTGGTACCTTACTGCCGATGTTCGAGTGTAATTGAGTTACATAATCTGGGATTCTGGTATAGTTCTGAGAATAAATTCATATACAAGATCTCTATGCATGACTCAAAATCTGTATACAGTTAATATGTACCATCCTGACGCCCAAAACAACTACATCATTATTTATGACATATTGAACACATTTTAGAGAGGATAATACTTATGAATATTCGAGTTTATACATGAAGTGATTCTTTATTAAGTTTACCATGTCTTCAAATAACTCTCCTGTTTCTCAGCAATCATATATTCTGCACCTGGAGATGAACTTTATTGATATTTAACAGCCCACTGTCATCTTGTGGCGTCTTCAAGCTAATCTATTCACCAGTCTCCTGTTTATAAAAGTTAGAACGCAGTAGCAGGTAATTTGGCTCTGGATAGTTTCTGCCTCTGACACGACTTAGTACCACACTTACACGATTGAGAAAAGCTGCCGCAGTATAGAAACAGAGAGATGGAAACCCTTTAGGCTACATTTTATAACCACTGCGTTTTCCTGCATTGTATGAGAGGATAAATTCAATGAACCTGTAGTCTGTCACGATAAATCTGTTATGTGTGAGGTATATACCATATTATCGTACAACTTATGGAAACATGTTGACATTTATTGAGTTGGTGCAAAGTGCAAACAAACATGGAACACTTTGAATGTGGCACAAAGTCTGTATAATAAATATTATATAGAAACACAGGAATTCGTGGATGACACTGAACATATTTTCTATACCCATGTATCCTACGAGGCCGAAAGGCAAAGAAGTTAATCATCACCCGTAAAGCGAAAATTACAATCTTCCTGGGTTGGGTTGGGCGTGATGGCGGTGTTGGTTGTGTTGGCGGTATTGGTTGTGTTGGCAGTGTTGGCGGTATTAAACAAGTGTTGATAACCTGTTTGTCGGCACGATCAGTTAATAATAATTAATGTGGTAAATTGGTCACTGATCCTAATACAGAAGTCTCTTTGTCTGTTACAACCCTGCCTCTTCTCTAATACTAGTACATAGCGTTTGGGAGAGGAACATTCCACATTGTTCATCACTGGCTATTAGGTCAACACTGATATCCGAAAAAAGCTGTTAAACAGAACCTGTTTACATTGCGGCCTAGACTTACTTTATTCTCTTCCTAAAAACCAGTTATATAAACTCAAAGGCAAGGGTTATTGTGACGTGGATGTTTTGGTCAATAACGAACCTTTATATGAATTTCTGGCTTTGAACAAAGGAAAACACCGGTAAGAAACGTGACGAACCTCATGTTGCTTATTTGCAATATTTTACAAGAGATAACTAAAATTCGGGAGAAATTGCTTCAGATTTTCTGTTTAACGGACTCTAATATGCTTTTCGTTTATGGAGGTATAAATGTAATAACTGGTGTTCACTCGGTGTAAATCCACGTCTTTTAATCGTATTTCACCATGCCAGGGCTAAATGAACATGACAGATGGCAAGCCACACGAATGTTTGAATCCCCCACCTTGCAGCGTTATGTCGCACGCCAGTTCAAAGTTCACGGGAACACCATATGATACTTACACCGACGTTAGCAACAAAACAATCACGTCAATGACCGTTGTGACCGCCCACCCATGATATCCCATCATCGAGACATGGATTCGAACCACGCATCTTCGACACAGCTTCCAGACAGAAACTCGGGCAACGGGCGGTCCGACTATGTGTCCCATCTCCTGCATCCGTGTGATGTGTTACCCTGGCCTGCACGATTCTGTCACCAATCAAACATGTTCAGGATGAAATGGAAATACTTGCACACATATAAAAGGCCATTTCCAACACCTTTCTTCCACATATAGTGGCCTCAATGAGGCAAAAGTGTCACGCAGGCATCAATGCACAATGTGGACACACTCGCTACTTGCCTTTAAACCCCCTGGTGCGACATGACTCCTTCGCACATGGCTGGACGGCTCTTCACATGGACGGTTGCTCTTTATGGTACCTTCAGGAATTGTTTTTTTCTGTGTGATATAATTCCATATTCACCGATTCTGTTTGTTTGGTATTTGAGCATATTCGTTATTTTGTTATTAATGCTTGTTGTTTTACACAGAAGACACCAATATTCCTGTAGTATCACCTAGGCTTGCAGACAATTGGTTCCAGGCCAAACAAGTGACATGATGAGCAATGATCCACTGGGCATGATGACACACAACCAGCCTGCCAAGTATTATATTTTTATATTCCATCATTTCATTAGGGTGCTTGAGTGAGTTGCATTTAAACCTGCTTTGAACAGTATTCAAGTTATATAACTGCATGTCATCTTGATGTGGCAGGACGGCCTGAGGTGGCGATCTTAGAGTTTACCACTTGAAACCCATTTCTAAACCTAGAAACATTATTAGGAATGGGATTGGAACTCACAATTATGTTTCTGGCATGGCCAGAGGGCACATTTTGCTTTTTATCCTCACAGTATTTGAGTGTGTCCATTTGACAATCAGACAAGCATGTACATGGACATACAAAGGTATCTGAAATAGAGGTCCAAGTACTGTTTAGGTCATATAGAAAACAGATATTGCGAGGATGAGGGGCTATGGTCACTACAGCTACATTCTAGTTTCCTCCTATGAGCACTGGGACCTATTCTGACCCAGAATCCTCAACAGTTGGAGGAGTGATACATGCTGTCAGTCAAGAGACACACATTTACTCAAGGGGCTAAACGTTATTCGAAAGGCATACTGGGTGTTGTGCAAAAAATGTGCTGTGAATGAAATTGATAATTTTCAGCTCCTCCTTTCACAGAATAAAATTGAATATCTTGAAGCAGTTACCCCAAAGATTTTCTGTCTCTAACAAAAATGCCAAGCCTCCTCCAAAAATTAAAATACCAGTTCCCTAGTCAGTGAAATGCAGTGGCACCTATCCTACCACTGCCAGTCACTCCAGAAGAGGCAACAGTTTAAACAAAAACATGGATCCAACAAAAGACCAATACGATTATAACCTGTGTAAAATTTATTCTTTTCAGGTTTCAAAATTACAATCTGACGCAAAAGTTGTCTGTCACCATAACAACTATCGAGTGATGAATGATGGCGTAACAAATGGCGGTCTATGAAGATGCGTACATGAAGTGTAATTCAAGTTCTGGACACCATAATTCTTCATCCTGTGGTGACAGTGTCAATGATTTATATACACAGTTCACAAAAATGACTTGATGAAAATGAGGAATTCATATGCAGTATACTAAGGATGTTTTGATTATGTCTGTTGAGATGCAGTTGTGGTAGTTATGCTTTACTGTCATACAGGAAGGACAAGTTTGCCACAAACGACATACGAACTGTAACAGTGAATCTCGTGACTCCATGCTGTGAAGAATCATTTAAAGACATTAGCCCAGATGGACACCAGTGATAACATTTGATTAACATGCAAATGTCTAAAGTTTTACATTACCCCACTCATTGTCTGAAACTGTACCAGAATGCAATCATTTCCCCCCGAGTCATAAAACCATAACATGTACATTGTGCTGTAGGAAAGATGAAGTATGTTTTAATACTTCTGAAAAAATTAATTCATGGTCATCAGAAAAAGAAAAAGAAAAAGAAATAGAACTGCTTCACATATAAGGAGTTGTACAACCAATTGCAAGTACCGGGAATCATTCTTTGTCAGAAAGAAATGACCTCGAGGTCAGGTGAACCAGTTTCTCATGCAGATTTGGAAGTACTGTATCTGATGGTGACGACCAAGTGACCATGACCTCGTTTCACAAAGTGATCTTAACACATTGATTGTCGTAAGCCTAAGATAAAGTATGGGAGTTACGATCGTCTAAGCACTAAGATCACTTTGTGGACTGAGAACAGTTTTACACATATCATGGGTCAGTGACAGAAAACATTGTCACACAATGGCGTACTGCTGGTACAACAGATCCCGGATCACGTAGTAGTCGTCACAGAGAGCACCCTCTAGCTGTATCCTCCCAGCCTCGTTCTGAAACACAAAATGTAATCATAGAATATTCATAAACATAAAGGTCAATTATCAAATACACACCAGATACAACAAGAATTTACAAAGTAACAGAAACAAAACAAATGAATGCGTGCCCATATTAAACGTATATAATACTACCCATCTGCAATGGTGGCCAATCTTCTCTCCATGGCCTTGTGAAGCATACATTAGGTCACAATAGGACTTTGAGGCCCTGGTATCCCCTAAACTGTAGTTCAAGCCTGCCAGAGTTGAGGATGTCCAATGATCAGTATTATGGTGAGGTGAAATTGGGTTTAACATCGCGTCAAAGATTATTGCACTTATATAGCGACGTGCATGCACGTGTGTGTGTGTGACTGCTTGTACTAGTCCGGACAGATGCCGAGTTATAGTGCTAGCTCATGCCGCAGTTTAACATGAATACCCCACTCAGCCACAGTATACTGACTCCGAGCCGACTAGTCCTTGTTTTAGCCCCTTAATGCCGAGTGCCAGACAGGGTAACAACAAGTACCATCTTTAAATGTCTTTTGGTATGTCGCGGCCAGGGATCGAACCCCGAACCTTCCGCTCTCCGGGCAGACGCTCTACCACTAGACCACGGAGGCGGTCTGATCAGTATATTGAGTATCTAACTTTTTCTAACATAGGTATTTCAAAAATCTAGATGACTTTTTTTTCCAAATTTACACTTTACACTAGCGGCATGAAGGGAAATCACTCACCGTCGTAACAGTTTTGCATAAAAGTATAATTAATAGTGTTTAACTTTTCACAATAGTTTAACAGCGCACGGATAAAACATTCAACTATAAGAAAAGACGATCATTTCTTCTGTTAGTGTGCAAATATTTGATGAAATGGATATTATTAATGAGTGCCTTTATATATTTCCTTTAATTCCTAAAGTGCAGGAATATTCCATACAGTCCAATGACATTTACAATGCAGACACATCATTATTTAAAGAACATTGCGGGCTTGTTCTCATTGGCAATAAGCAATATGTGTCATAATATTGGACTTATTCTATGGTTATTACATGACTTCTAGTCTATGAATCACCTTTTATTCGCAAGAGACTGACTTAAAACAGGTTGTAAAAGGACTCCTGCTACATAATATTTAAACTAAACAAGACACTCAGATTTCAAAATGGAACATATAAATACAAAAAGGGTAAAAATGTTATAAAAACAGGTTGTAATTTGATGATGATGCTATTAAAACTGATTACAAGTGACAGGTGAGTGAGTGAGTGAGTGAGTGAGTGAGTGAGTGAGTGAGTGAGTGAGTGAGTGAGTGAGTGAGTGAGTGAGTGAGTGAGTGAGTGAGTGAGTGAGTGAGTGAGTTAGTTGGGTTTAACGCCGCTTTTAACAGTATTCCAGTTATATCGCGGCGTGTCAGCATAATGTGGGAGGAAAGCCCAATGTGATGCAGGTCTCAGACGTTTACCACTTCGGTGAAACCCACGAGCACGGGTATGGTGCTGACAAACCTAGAAACATAATCGGGGCGAACCGGGACTCGAACCCACAATCATAGATTTCCGGAATGCCCAAGGGACGCAACTCTGCACAGCGCATCGCGGCGCCCTAGACGACTAAGTGACAGGTGAAGATTTAACTGTCTACAAATGACTTTTAAAAAGGTTGTATTGTTTTTTAAGTGTTTTTTGTTCTGTTACAAGCGCAGCATATGATCCGTGTATACGACTCAGGAGACGTTAATGATCACATGATGTAGTCATAGGTATAGTAAATTTGTATTAGCTACAGACAAAGAATAAAATCTGGTGCTTTTTTAAACCTCTTTTGAGAAGTATATTTTATAAAGTGAAGTGACATGAATAGTGAGGCTATGTTGCAATCAGCAATGTTCCAGGAATAGCACAGAATCTTGAAATAATCATGTCTGGGTCAGACTCTTTAGTCAGACATGGTGCACTCGGGAGCTTTTCTGCTTCGGGATCCACACAAGCATGGTGTTCAAGAAACCTTGGTGGGGAGGAGGAGGAGGAGGAGGAGGAGGAGGAGGAGGAGGAGGAGGAGGAAATCCCCACTGGAAGACAAGCATGGGGCTGGAGGAGAGACAAGCACAGGGTGCTTAGAACATATTCTATTCCAGAAATCCCATTGAGAAACAATCATGGGTGGTGCTGGAAAGCAATTCAGCTCCAGACTCCCCATAGGGATTAAAAGTATGCTGTGTTTGGAACCCATTCTTCTCTGGAATCCAAACAGGGAGCCACTGCTGCTGGGGACCTAGTCTGCTCTGATATCACCACAGGGTATTTACAGTTTGTTGGTTTGTTTGTTGTTTAATGCTGCACTCAGCAATATTCCAACTATATCATGGCGGTCTATAAATAAACGAGTCTGCACCAGACAATCCAGTGATTGATATCATGAGCATCGATCCACGCAATTGGGATACAATGACATGCATCAACCAAGTCAGCGAGCATGACCACCTGATCCCATTAGTCACCTCTTACGACAAGCATAGTCGCCTTTTACGACAAGCATGGGTTGCTAAAGACCTATTCTAACCCAGATCTTCATGGGTCGGTATTTACAGTATGAGGGCTGTACTGAGGCCCAGTTGTTAACACATTGGCTTGTTATAGGTTCGATTCCCACATCAGTGCAGTGGAAGTGTCAGTGTGTGAACTTCATCACCAACGGTGCATGCATGGAAGAGGTTTCCTTCTGTAACCTTAACAAAGCACCCCAGTGACTTACATAGTTGAGAAGAAGCACATTTTAAAAAAACAAACTTTGATTTTTTTTGACAATTCCAAGAAATGCTTCTTCATTCTCCTTTAAAAAAAAGAAAATATTAATCAGCATCAAAGACTGCAACATTTTTCACCATCCAAGCTTGCAGTTTATTTTGAAACCAATGGATGACTATATCAACAACTGTACAAGATAAATCATGATTGCCTTCCTATCAAAGCTTGTCACCTGGAATGAAGTATACACTGGCAATACAAGTTTACATCCTTGCATGTATTATTATATAGCTGTCTTTGCCTAAGACACACAGCAGAGAAAACATCTTTGATGCCTTTATCGTCCAAAAGAAACAGGCATGGCTTATGTCAAACACAATGTGTAAATACTTCAACGATATTTCACAGAACCTCGGAGTATTACTCAACATCAAAGGTTAGAGAGAAACTTCCATATTTATTCTTAAAACCAGCATACAATGTTAACAGAGAAGGTTTAAAAAAAAAAAAGGTTCAATAAATGTAATTAGGATAATAACAAGTGGAGAAAATTTAGTATGGAATGATAAGGGTACTTTCATGTTGCTTCCAGCCTTGATCTATATGACAGCCGGGAAATGCTTCTGTCACAGGCACAGCTGAAAACTAGTGAGTGAGTGGTTGAGTGAGTGAATGAGTGGTTTAGTGAGTGAATGAGAGTGGTTGAGTGAGTGGTTAAGTGAGTGAATGAGTGGTTCAGTGAGTGAGTGAGTGGTTAAGTGAGTGATTGAGTAAGTGGTTGAATGAGTGATTGAGTGGTTGTGTGAGTGATTGAGTGGTTGAGTGAGTGAAAATACAACCATCTAGACAGAGACAGTTGTCTAGTTCTCAAATATAGACATCAGTCTTCATAGGTTTCATGATCATTTGATGTTAACAAGCGTTGGCATTGCATTGTACAGATGTCAACATGTGTTCATCAGCAAGGGAGCTAATTCAATCTCACCCAGTTGCATACCACTAAATACATGACTCCACAATAGTAAAATGGCTTGAGTGAGTGAATGGATGGTTGAGTTGCTTGCTTGGTTGGTCTGGTTGGTTTGGTGGGTTGGTTGGTTGGTTGGTGTGGTTGGTTTGGTGTGTGGGTGGGTGTGGGTGCTGGCAAATGACTGAGTGAAAGAGAAAGAAGTGCTCTTCTAGCAAGTTGGTAGCCCTTCACAGTACTAGCTCTTGTGGAACACACGGCACACACTTTGTGACAATACAGGCCACTGATTGGATGATGAGTGACCAGTGAGAATGTCAGTTATGTTTTCAATTTCCCCAGAGTTTGCGAATGCTGTGGTTGTAAAGCAAGGGCTGGTTGACATAAGGCTAAATAAATGTGTCCCTTGTGAGACCCACAAAGTCAGGTCTGCTAAAGGGCTGGTTGACACAAGGCTAAATGTGTTCCTTGTGAGACCCACAAAGTCAGGTCTGCTAAAGGGCTGGTTGACATAAGGCTAAATGTGTTCCTTGTGAGACCCACAAAGTCAGGTCTGCTAAAGGGCTGGTTGACATAAGGCTAAATGTGTTCCTTGTGAGACCCAAAAAGTCAGGTCTGCTAAAAGGCTGGTTGACACAAGGCTAAATGTGCTGCTTGTGAGACCCACAAAGTCAGGTCTGCTAAAGGGCTGGTTGACATAAGGCTAAATGTGTTCCTTGTGAGACCCACAAAGTCAGGTCTGCTAAAGGGCTGGTTGACACAAGGCTAAATGTGTTCCTTGTGAGACCCCCAAAGTCAGGTCTGCTAAAGGGCTGGTTGACACAAGGCTAAATGTGTTCCTTGTGAGACCCACAAAGTCAGGTCTGCTAAAGGGCTGGTTGACACAAGGCTAAATGTGTTCCTTTTGAGACCCACAAAGTCAGGTCTGCTAAAGACCATGTCAGAGACCTGTGTTAATCATGCAGTCCATGGTGGTGGCATTCCAAGATGTAAATCACCCGGCCAACATTTACTGTGACCTGGCTCCCTAAGAAGACAAAAACTTTCAGATAATTCTTGTCATGCCAATAAAAATAACACCACAGATAGCCAGACTGAAAGTCATACAGGCAAAACTGTGTAGAGCACAAGATACTTTGGAACAAGTACACAACTTATAGTAAATCAAGCAGGGAAATAACTACAGTAAACTACGGTTATACGAACACGCTTATAACGAACTGACGGATAAAACGAACTTACTTTATTGAGCCCGACTATTTGCTGTAGTTATGTAGTCATGGTACACATGCTTATAACGAACTACGGTTATAACGAACTAAAATTAGTAGTCCCTTTGAGTTCGTTATAACCGTACTTTACTGTAAATAAAATCTGTCAAAGCAGACTCTGACTAATCTACATCTCTGTCAATACCAGTGGGAATGAGGCAGTTCTTATTCCCCATTGAATAAACAAGTAAAATAAAATGTCTGAAATTTAATTAGACAAAAAAAAACAGAAAAAAACTTCTTTACACCAAGGAATAAATCCCCACAATGACACTTTTTCTATATATATACTAGGGCTGTTACGATTCACTCACGTATTCGGTGAATCGAACCGTAACCATTCATGAATTAAATTCGTTATTCGTGGCCACTAGAATCAAATATTTATGAATATGCAATCATGTGTATTTACATACCCTGTACCTAAAAATATCCATAAGAACATATTATAAACATAGATTTCTTTCAATGACAACACTCTTATTATATTTAATTTGACAGTATTGTGGTCACTGGTCATTGTCGCATTTGAGCAGATATGAGTACCTGGATAAGTGCAGTATATAAAAGTATAATATATTAATAATTAACAAACCATGTCAAATAATTTATGTTGTTATTGTTTCACTGACTATAATAATAATAAATCAACTGCTGACTTTTCATTGTATTTGTGAATTAATATTCGCATTCGTTACCCTATATTCGTGATATGAATCGTATTATCCTCACAGTGTATTCGTTGCAGCCCTAATATACACTGAAAGTGTGAATAATTAACCACTTTCTATCATAAAATGGTAACTTCCTGACAATGGAACTTCTTTCTAATATTATCAAAAGCAATCTCCTGACTGGAGTCCTATGAATGTCTTCGCCCCACAACGATAATATGTCATCTCCTGTTCTACGTGATCTGTCAGATACAGAGCATGAAAAGCACCAGATTTAAAAAAAACATGTGCAATTTGTATTGTAACGGGTGTGTTTGGGCGAGCAGTCCCAAGGTAATCCATGGGTGTATTTGGATGAGCTATCCCAAGACAAAACCACGAACAACTGTTTCCCTGCAGTCTAATCACTGCTCCAGGGATCAGTGGCAAAAACAGCATCATTTGAGTGAATTTCCACACCATCATATTGCACATATCTGCCAAATTCTTTCCTTTACAGTTTATTCTGTTCTCTGATGTGCCACTCAAAACACCCACATTATTAAAGATATATGATCCAGATTAAAGTGTAACAGTATCTGTCTGGGGAATAACCTTATTAGTCACATTGTTGAAATTGTGCTGTAGCTCACCTTGAGATTTCTGGAATAAGTACAATATTAGACCATAAAAGATTTACAAGTATAAACAAGAGGTCTGTCCACAAAAACATGCTTCCATGCATGTGCATGAAACTACACTTGCTGAGTAGGTAGCACAGTATGTCAAATGAAGAGTGAGTGAGTTGGGTTTAACGCCGCTTTTAACAGTATTCCAGTTATATTGCGGCGTGTCAGCTTAATGTGGGAGGAAAGCTCGAAGTGATGCAGGTCTCAGACGTTTACCACTTTGGTAAAACCCACGAGCACGGGTATGGTGTTGACAAAACTAGAAACATAATTGGAGCGAACTGGGATTCGAACCCACAATCATAGGTTTCTGGTGTGCCCAAGGGACACAACTCTGCACAGCGAATCGCGGCTTCTCAGACGACTGGGCCTCAGATTCGAACCGACAGTCATAGGTTACTGGCATGCCTATGGGGAACAATTCTACACAGCATTTGTGGCCCCTAAGTGGCCAAGATAATACTTCACTTGGGTGTTGCTGTTGTGGATACAAAACAACATTATACACACACAGGTAAAGTCATCATGCTTATCATTTTTGGATATGGAACCACCTTAAGTTATTACAATTTTCAGTTATGCATGAAAATACACATGACCATAGAACACTATTCATTGCTTAAACATTGTAATTCTTCAATGAATAATAAATTTAAATTAAGGGTGACGGAATGAGTATTATTTTACGCCGCTTTTAGCAATATTCCAGCAATATCAAGATGGTGGACACCAGAAATGGGCTTCACACATTGTACCCATGTAGGGAATCGAACCCTGGCCTTGGGCGTGACAATACACCCTTTAACCACTAGGCTAGCCCACTGCCCTATAAATTTGAAGAAAATAGAGTATCTTACAAATACAAATAGTTGGAAAAGTGCTAATGCATAATACAACAACAACTATATATGCCAAACATAGGTAGTGGGTTGTTTCAGAAGATTCAGTTTCAGCTCTCTGTCACTGTGTAGAACATCATGCAAACTAAAGGATTCTTGATGCACAGAACATTTGATTCTGGCTTCCTCCATTTTCATACTTTCCTTGTATGTTTCAGTGCAAACTTTGTTGTTTGTATCTCACACCAGCACAATACCTAGCACTCGACTACAATAACAGAGCCTCCTCACCCTCCTGACTGCCACAGCATTGTTACAGATGAGCACTCCAGCCACAAACTCGCAGGGGATTCCTTCTTGAAGCAGCACCAGCTTGAAGTCGGACAACTTGGGCTCATTGATGAACACCGAGGTGTGCACTGGGACCTGTTCAGGGGAAGAAGTCACATATTAGTCGGGACAAGAGTGAGTGAGTGAGTGAGTGAGTGAGTGAGTGAGAGTGTGCTGAAACCTGTCCATTGTTTAGATGGATTACAGTAGGGACCATAGAGTGAATGAGTGGTTGAGTGAGTGGTTGAGTGAGTGGTTGAGTGAGTGGTTGAGTGAGTGGTTGAGTGAGTGAGAGTGCACTACTGAAACATGTCCATTGGTTAGATGGATTACAGTCGGGACCATAGAGTGAGTGAGTGAGTGAGTGAGTGAGTGAGTGAGTGAATGCACTGAAACCTGTTAGATGGCTTAGTCGGGACCATAGAGTGAGTGAGTGAGTGCAGTGGAACCTGTACAGTGGTATCATTGGTACTCAGGACAATTCAGTTGTGGCCTAGCATGTTAGGTTCAAGCAGGAGGAGACAAAGTGATGCAGACAAAAATGTGTATAGGTACAGCGCTGACACACTGAATATCACAACGGGGATCTGGGGTTTGAACACTACATCTATTATTAAAAAGAGACTGCTAAAAAGTTGGCTAAAAAAGTTGGCTTAAGCACCGGGCTTGTAGTAAAAGATTCAAATCTAGACTGATACATTTCTCTCTCATGTAAAAAAGTGAACAATGTCAGTCCAATAGCCAACCAGCAACACACCTGAGTCGGAGGGAAGGATTCCAGTGTAGGGATCAGATCCTGAGCTTCCTTCTCATCCTCTAAGGCTGAAATGAAGAACAATTCTTTCAGTTATTAAAGAACAAGCCAATGAATAATGTCAGCAATTGTGAGTCTGTTATGACAAAATACATACATGCTACCTTGGTGTACCTGCAGATTTGACAGTGCGAGATTGAGTTCGGAACCAAACATGGGCCTTATGTGTGTAGTTTTTCAAATCATGAACAAAGTAAATATTTCCATGAATTGTTGCCATGGGTGTAGACAAAGTTGTCAAAACTAACAAGTCCACCTGCAAAATTCTGGAGGGAGTGTGATATTGACTTGTGGTCTACCACTTTTACCAGATGTAGTTATAATAAGTAGGGATGAAATGATAAAGCAAGGTCACGATATACAGATATACGATACGTATCATGATATATGCATATTTACATCAAATCACAAGGAAATTTCTTGACTATAAATATATATCAGGTTCCAAAGGAAAAGCTAGCTGTAGACACATGAACATAGCATCATTCCAGCTATATGACGTCCGCTTGAGAATATTAGACTCTGAACCAGACTATCCAGTGATCAACACACCGGTACTACTTTAACGTTACCTTTTCACCATATCTGGAGCATGAACCTATGATAGCTTCACCCACCTTTAAGTCTGCGCTTCTCTTGGTCAATGGCATCGCCTTCCTCGATCTCAAACATAGCGCCAGTATCTGTCTTGTCAGTGGACATGTTGAGATAGCCATCTATCCAGGCCAGCTCGATGTCCCTGGCCTTAGAAAACATCAGGGAGGTGACCAGGTGGTCTCTCATCCTCAGCTGCAACACACAACGTTTACACACATGAACAGACAGATGGGCAACCATGACATCAACAGATACAAGCAACAGCCTCAACAGCGATGAAACCCCTGTCCACATATATGAAACCCGTCCACTGACATGAAACCCCTGGCCACTGATATGAAACCCATCCACAGATATGAAACCCGTCCACTGACATGCAACCCCTGGCCACTGATATGAAACCCCTGTCCACAGATATGAAACCGATCCATTGATATGAAACCCCTGGCCACTGATATGAAACCCCTGGCCAAAGATATAACACCCTTGTCAACAGATATGAAACCCTTGTCAACAGATACGAAATCCCTGTCCAAAGATATGACACCCTTGTCAATAGATATGAAACCCTTGGCAACAATGTAAAATGTTCTTGGCACAAGATATGAGTAAAAGCCCCAACATTCCATGAACAGACACAAAAAACTGTGTCCAATATACATTTTTATGAGTCTTGCAGCCATGTCTGGGGCAGAGAGCATCTGAACAGCCATAGTGGACAGGATATAACAAACAATCACAGAAACAATGGGACTGACTTTCCAATCTGTAAAATTCAGTTGAATCAACTTCCTGGAGCCTGTGCTGGTTTCACAGCATCAGTGTGATCCCCAGGTTACATATCAAGATTTACACTGACAATAGCACAGGGGATTGATATACATGTACAGCCAAATCTCATTACATGAGTCTACTGAGATAAACCAGACAGGACAGCCACCAGTAAGTGATAACTGTCATCCATCTGCTGCAACTCTTTCTACATTGATGTGTAACCATGAAACTTCAAGGCCTTTAATGCAGGGGAATGGAGGTCAGTGTCCTTGGACATGCTGGCTACCAGTACATTTGATCTCTCATCAGCAATGTCACTGAATAAAACATATGATCAAAGTGTAAAAGCAAAGTTTCACTTTTTTAAATCAAATCAAGGAGTGTACTAAACTTTATTTTTGTCACTTTGATCTCTTCCATCATTTCTAATTGTTAAAAAACTATGACATAAAATATATGATCTGTAGTTTGAAACTTCAAATTGCTTAGCACACATTTTACACCCTTTTCTCTATTGTATGAAGGGAAGAATGACGAATCTGGTAGGGGTTTACATACTCTCACAAACTTACTTCAGTTTTCACAATCATTCTCAGTTAACATTCAGATAGGCATAGAAAGGTATTTCTTTCAAGTGTTCCTGATAGCACTCATAGACTGTACGCTGTGGAATGAGTTGCAAATCGCCTTCCAATGATGCCCTGTCCTTCCGGCAATTCTCCAGGAACTCAGCAGTGCTCTTTATGAAGAGAGGAACACATTTCCCAAGGCAAACCACCCAGACACTTATTTGGAGCATGAGTCGACGGTGCCAGGCTGTGATCACATCACATGAATTACATACATGTGACTGAGAGTGTTTTGTTTCCAAAATGAATTTGTTTGCGACGATTTTGTGTCATCTTGATGAGATACTGTCATTTTGACGGGTGATCTGACTGATTATTGGTCACAAGTTGTGTGCTGGCATTGTGTGGCACATGACAACAGACTTTTGTTAATTAAACATGTCTTCATGCAATATTGTCTTGGGCTATTTCAATGGATGCACACAATTTGACATATTGCCTTTTAACGTGGTGATTCTTAGCAAACTTTGAGAAGTATATAAAGAACTCTTTGGAATTAAAGTTTGCCAACAAGATAAATACACTTTATCCTCCCTCAACATTTCTCTTCATTTTAGATGATAAGCAGTAGTAGAAAGTTTGGAAATACCTTTTCACAGATATTAATAATACCCTTTCCAATTTCTGAATCAGGAAGACTGCAGTTTACGGGCTCAGCGTACTGCAATAATTGACTCCAGCTGCAGGCTTTGTGATCCTTAGGATTAATGCAGGTTACCCCAAACTCTATCCTCATCCCTTAGATCAACCACCCCATTACAACCATCAGGGTTAGGTTCCTCTTTCCGATCAACCACCCCTTTACAACTACCAGGGTTAGGTTCCTCTTTCCGATCAACCACCTCTTTACAACTAACAGGGTTAGGTTCCTCTTTCTGATCAACCACCCCTTTACAATTACCAGGGTTAGGTTCCTCTTTCCGATCAACCACCCCTTTACAACTACCAGGCTTAGGTTCCTCTTTCTGATCAACCACCCCTTTACAACTACCAGGGTTAGACTCCTCTTTCCGATCAACCACCCCTTTACAACTACCAGGCTTAGGTTCCTCTTTCTGATCAACCACCCCTTTACAACTACCAGGGTTAGACTCCTCTTTCCGATCAACCACCCCTTTACAACTACCAGGGTGAGGCTCCTCTTTCCGATCAACCACCCCTTTACAACTATCAGGGTGAGGCTCCTCTTTCCGATCAACCACCCCTTCACAACTATCAGGGTGAGGCTCCTCTTTCCGATCAACCACCCCTTTACAACTATCAGGGTGAAGCTCCTCTTTCCGATCAACCACTCCTTCATGTCCTTCAGGTTTAGGTACCCAATTACAATCTTTAACTGTTCATTAGGGTATGCATCAGCTATCTCATCTCATTAATTCATTGTAATTTGAGGAAAACCTGCACAATTTGTAACAAGTTTTGAGTTTGGGGAGAACAAGCACAAGTTATGCCCATGGTCTCGTGGTAAAGCTATCAGATTACTCATTAGTCTAGCTTAGCTTCAAGCTGGCAATATGAGTTTGATCCTCTCAGCGGCACAGAAAGAGAGCAGCTCATAAAGTGTAGTACTCCCATCAGGTTTATTGTGTTAAACATACTGTGCACTGAGGGTGTTCAATGTTTATACTCAGAGGCAAAAGTTATTGTGACATGGAATTTTTGGAATGAATTTTTGGATTTGAACCAGAGAAAGAGTATGTAAATATTAAGGGTGTGCGTTATTATTGGTATATCGGTATATTGGTAAATTGAGGTTCATTCTTTCCACAATACATATCACAGTATCATTTTTTCATCTCGATATATTGGGTGATGTCAAATAGCGATTGTTTTAATGTTATTTTCTTGCCAAATTCCTTCGCTACCCCCCAGCATGCATCCGGGGGCCGCAAGATGGCTTCATATTTATTGACTGAGTAAACATCACATTGTACCAGCATCTTGTTTTGTTCCATTTATGAACTTCAATTCATACCTTAATGTATCAGATTGCTGCCAAATTCAAAACTTAGAATTATACAATATATTGTGATATGTATCGCAATACGGCCTTGTGCCCAGCAGTGTTGATCATTACCATAACTTGTCTGTCCATGTAATAACATTTCATTCCATGCAGTAATAGTTTAACACTGATTCTGTTTGTTGTTTGTGAGTTGCAATATCTTTGAGTATCGTTGTCAAGTACAGTTGTGTGAAAGTGAGGTTAGGTGAGGTGAAATGTAGTTTAACATCACGTTCAACATTATTGCACTTATATAGCGATGTGCATGCATGTTTGTGCGCGTGTGTCATAGTCCGGACTAATGCCGATTTAATAGTGCTAGCCCACTGAGATACCATGCCGCAGTTTAACATAATACCCCACCTCGACTCAGTATACCGACTCAAAACCGACCAGTCCTTGTTTTAGCCCCTTAATGCCAAGCACCAGACAGGGTAACAACAAGTACCATTTTTTAAAACGTCTTTTGGTATGAACAGCAAGGGATCGAACCCCTGACCTTTCACTCTATGGGCAGACACTCTACTACTGGACCATGGAGGTGATCTTGTGTGAAAGTACATCTCTCATTGGCTTCAAATCAGTGTCCTTTTTCAACTGTGCCATTATTAGCTTAACAATGCTATTTCAAATCATTTCACACCCGTGAAGATAAGGGGTAGAATAGGTCTTCAGCAACCCAGGCTTGCCATAAAAGGCGACTATGCTTGTCGTAAGAGGCCACTAACGGGATCGGGTGGTCAGGCTCGCTGACTTGGTTAATGCATGTCATCGATCCCAATTGGGCGGATCGATGCTCATGATATCAATCACTGGATTGTCTGGTCCAGACACGATTATTTACAGACTGCCGTCATATAGCTGGAATATTGCGGCGTTAAACAACCAACCAAACAACCAATCAAATCATTTCAGATGAAGTAACCAACTTGATGGTGAATGTCAGCACTACTTGTGCATAGTATATGACTTATTCTTGAGGCAAGAGTGTCCACTAGCCTACATCAAAGTCTAGTTTTCATCCTTGTGATTAAATGCGATATTCAATCAGATTGCCGTTCATATTTCAAATGGCTTCACAATGATGACTACCATAACAGACAACCAGGTTGATCAAATAACGAAAAGATTCAGTATTTCATCCCTGATAGAAAAACAAAATGACAGATTACCACAGTAAAGATCCATATTACTGCCACATTTCACAGTATCAAGTAACACTGCACATTCAGGTAACTTGAAACACTCAGCAGGTGTGGTCTTAAAATAGCACTACATCACAGACACTGAGATAAGCATTCAGTCGTTTGAGTCATAAAAGAACCAAGTTTGCACTTAAATATATAAAAGTTCTTGGGTGAGTTGACTAAAAAAGTATAACCACTTTGAAAATGTTTGTCATTGCTTAATTTTTTTATTAATATCAGCAAACATTTGGCAGGCGATGTTGATTTGGTATAAGGTTATCTGATTGGACTATCAATATAATGCGAGAGTCCTCTCATATTTTAACACAAAAAATAGGCCTGAAATGGCAAGGGTGAAAACTAGACTCTGGCATCATGAAGATGAGTACATGACAAATAGTAGATTAGGAAACAACTGGGATAGCTATAAACATTTCAAAGAAACCTTACTTACATATAAAGCGACCCCACGTATAAGGTGACCCCCCTCTCCAAGCCTTCAAAATCAATGCTAATTTATATCCCCCGTCTATAAAGCGAATCAGAATGAAGCATGTCACCAGTGCATTCACATTCCGTACATTTGCAATAAAAACGTGTTTGTCTTCGGCAGAAAAAAATATACCTTGCATTCCTTCAGCAAATTCTGGGAAACAGATCGTAATCATTAAACTTTTCAGATTTGTTGCCATGGTATTTCCAGTGTTACGTGCTTACAGTTATGTCTGTATTTGGGGAAAAAAACATCAAAACTCATCAACCCTGTATAAGACGACCCCCCCTTAAAGGCCCCCTAATCCTGGGTACGAAAAACTCGCCTTATATACAGCGATATACGGTAGCTGGTAAATAATAAACTAAAAACATGATGAACTTAGTGGAGAGGAATTACGACTTGATACATATATTTGATGTTTCTCTTCATGTGTGCAACATGTATTGGTTTCCAGGTTGACAGAAGTGATCATGTTCCTAGCAACTTATTATTGTATTATTTTCGTAAGCATATATATATATTTATATCGACCTGTCATTTCATGGGCTTGAATACACTAAGAAAAAAAGACTATTTATCTTCATTCGACCATATAATTGGGTAAAGAATAACTATGAAGAAAATATATTGAAACTGTTAACAATTTAAATGACTAAAGCGTACCTGGTAGATGTGACTTTCTGTTGTAGCATCAATCACCTCGCCCACCCTGGGGGTGAATATGTTGCCCTGGACTATTGACTGGGACTTGCAGTAGTCTGCAAGCGCATCAGTGGCCTCCGATGACCCTCGCACCAGCACCTGCATAATATACATACAACATGTAAGAGTGAGTGAGTGAGTGAGTGAGTATGGTTTTACGCCGCTTTTAGCAATATTCCAGCAATATCACGACGGGGGACACCACAAATGGGCTTCACACATTGTACCCATGTCGGGAATCGAACCCGGGTCTTCGGCGTAACGAGCGAACGCTTTAACCACTAGGCTACCCGACCGCCCCCAACATGTAAGATATTGTTTGATGTGAATACCACCTGCCCCACCCATAAACAATGCAACATTTAAGCTACTGTTTGATGTGCATATCACCTGAGTCATAGTTAAAAATACATCAGATAAAAAACAAATAAACAATTAAATAAATAATATATAATAAATTATTATTTTTTTATGATGATGATGATGATGATGATGATGATGATGATAAGTATAAAAATAATAGTAACACTCATGTAGCGCGGAACTCCACACACAACTGGTATGCTCAGAGTACAAACAGAATAACCATGTTTTGGATTTATGCAAAACACTTAAACAGATAAGTTTTCAGACATTTGAGCATCTCAAGATTTGGAGACGTTCGTAGTTCCATCAGAAGAGAGTTTGCTTTGAACAATATTTCAATATTTCAGTTATATCACAGCATATCAGCTTCATATGGGAGGAAAGCCCCAAATGATGCCGGTCTCAGGTGTGTATGACTTTGGTGAAAACTATGAGCATGGGTACCGGGTATGGTGCTGACAGACCACCTGGAAATATTCAGGGTGAGCCTAGGATTCAAACAAATGATTGTAGATATCTACAGCTGAGAAACAATACCACAAATCATAATTCCAAATGTAACATTCCCTTCCTTGCCTGACAACAAACCAGACAACCTCGTCCTTACATCATCCACGATAATGGAGCAAAGAGGTTGCTTCTGAGAAACCATTCTAATACTATTTGTGCCAGGGGCGATTTGAGAGATTCTCGTTACAGCCCTGTGCCCTGTATCTCAAATTGTTAATTTAATATAAAAAAGGGTCTTGTTAAGATATGGTTTCAGCTCATTCCAGTGCGGTTGGTTAAAAAATATGGTTGCTAGTTTACAGACTTATTGTGAAAAACCCTGGTTTAGGACCAAAATACAATAAATATGACGTTACCGGTTTCAGTTTCTGTTCTTCAAAAAATTGTTTGAATAAGTTTATCTTGTCAGAATTGTACTTTCATCTATTGTCTGAACAATTTTGTATTGTGAACATGTAAATTTTCATTCTGAGGAATGAAAGAATAATGTCCCTAACATTTAATTTTCCCCCATTTTTCATTGTTTTAGGGTCAGTGGATTTCGTAAACCAAATGAACTAAAAGCTCTTGTCCAAGTGTCATGACCGGTAATTTGTTGAGTAACATAAGTTGATCATTATCCAAAGTCCATAGATGCAGCAAATTCCAGGACTAAGGATGCTTCCACTGTATAGCCCTCACGTGGTAGGTATCCTTTAATATCTTTATACTACTTTAAGCATTTTCTCTTTGTGCAACTGACCCAGATTTCAGGGTTTTCCTTTTCTTCTAAAACGTAAGGGTCAACCTTGGGAGTATTATACACACAGACAAGTTTTGATTTTCTTTTTCCCCCAAGGGAAACCATTTACGCTATCATGCAACACAGGCAGAATGTCAACAAGTCCTGTAATGCATATGGATTCTAAGAACAATTTTCCATTCAAAATCTTTCTCACTGTCTTGGCCTTGTGCCATCTGAAGAGATTCCGAAAAAAAATATTGATTGTTTCTTTAAAGTTGTGGAATAAAAACTAAGATGAAAGATACAACATTTTACAAAAAAAATAGATTATACTTTTTTCAATTTAGATGTCTGTTTTCTTAACACTAAAATCCCCTTGAGGTGAAACTAACGTGTAAAGTTTAAGCATATTTAGTATAGCAATTTCCGAGAAAAAGGAAGAAGTGCTTCTTTTTCACCATGATGCCTTGAACCCACCTTAAACTATGAGGGCGCGTCAAAAAGTTCTAAGCCTAACAGACAAAACCGATCAAAGTGTTTTTAATTATAATTTTCAACATAATCTCCCTGCTTTACAATACACTTCTCTTATCGATAGTGAAGCTTTTCAATTTCAGTCAGAAAGTAGTTTTCTTAAGCCACCCTGAAAAACCCATTCATGGCAGCTCTGAGGTCTTCATTGTCGTCATAGCGCTTTCCACGAAGGTGTTCTTTCAGTTTAGGAAACAGGTGGAAATCACTTGGTGCCAGGTCTGGCGAGTATGGAGGGTTAGGAAGCTCTTCGAACTCACATTGTTGCACAGCAGCATTGGCAAGTCGAGAGGTGTGAGAAGAGGCATTGTCATGAACTCCATCAGTCAGCATTCCCCACTGCTTTTCTTTGTTAGAATCTCTCAGGCGATGAAGCAAATCAGCATAGGAGGCACCGGTAATCGTCTTTTGACTTTCAAAGTAATCTACAAGGATCACAACCTTTGCATCCCAGAATACGGTGGCTATAACTTTCTTTACTGATCTTGAAGACTTGAATTTCTTTGGTGCTGTAGAAGTGGAATGGTGCCATTCCATTGATTGACGTTTTGACTCAGGATCATATTGGTAGACCTAGGTTTCATCATCCATTACTAATCTCTTTTTGAATTTGACAAAATCTTCCTCAATTAGCTTTAAATTTTCTCTGCCAATGTCAGTTCTTTTTTCCTTCAGATCAGAATTTAGAAACTTTGACACCCAACGACCAGATATCTTATTCATCTGTAAATGTTCATGAACAATAGCTTCAATGGCTACATGGCTAAGACCTGTGTCTGCCTCAAGTTCTGCAATCTGAAGGTATACGTTTTTCTATCTCATTGATTGAATCTTGATTGATGGAAGCTGAGAGACTTTAGGGACCTAGGGTCATCATAAAGGATGGTTTTCTCCGCCTTAAACATAGCTGCCCAATGTTTAACAGTGGAATAGCTAGGGCACTTATCCCCATACACTTGTGACACGTGGTCATAAATTTCATGGGGAGTACTTTTCTCTGGAGTCAAAAACTTGATGACTGCTTGGAACTCATTCTTTTCCATTTTTGTGTCCATTCAACTGTCTGTCACTAATACACAAATGGCCTCAACACACCAACTACACTTGCAATGAACTACTCAAACAATGTACTACATTGACTAATTCACTTTGTTATGGCCCATAGTTGAAAGTTAGTCAGACTTAGCCTTTTGACCAGCCCTCGTATCTTAAAAATTCTAAAATCAAATTCTCTAAATTTATTTGGATCGAATACATTGAGATAAAGGTCTCCTTGTTTTTACCATCACTGTTGGCTTGGATTGCAGATGTGACTATTGCCAGGCAATGTTCATACCTTTGATGGGCAATGGGCTGGCCTAGTGGTTAAAGCATTCGCTTGTAGGCTCGGGTTTGATTCCCCACATGGCTACAATGTGTGAAGTCCATTTCTAGTGTTCCCCACTGTGATATTGCTGGAAAATTATTTGCTGAAGGCAACATGAAATCCAACTCACCCATTCACTCACATCTTTTTACCAACTTGCAGCCCTTAAATATCAAAGATTTGCTTTAACAAGAGGCTTGTGTGAGGAAACTGCCACAAAACATTGTCAGAACGAGGTTATCTCTACGACATCCCAACAAGTACTCTCCAACGAGTAAAACTAGTAAAATCCTAGATATTTTTTATATTTGTATACTTATCCTGCATTACTCCTTAATGCATATTACTGCTTGGTCTTGACAGAGAAAAGAACTGTGTGAAGGTCTTTGCTTGAAGAAGTTGTTCCAACTAACTGAGAGGCCAACCATATCACACAGCTCCCACGTGACCAAAGGAAGTGATGTCACGGATCCTCACATTACTCTGGAGTCAGGACATTGGAAGGCATCGTGGGGAGGTAGATCTGCGATGGGTGGGTCCCTTTAGACGCAGTAATGCAGGATAAGTATACAAATATAAAAAATATCTAGGATTTTACTAGATTTTTTACTTATCCTGCATTACTCCTTAATGCATCTTTATCGGACGGAACCGCCGGAGGCAGGCATACCTTCAGATGTGGACTTTCATCTTTTATTTCCAGACTCTGTTCCGTAGCCAATCCTTGGCTGTGTGGTCGGCTTAGGGTGACTACAAACGGACAAAGTTGTGCACGCCTAGCCCATCCCCAATGGGATGTATAGGGACATGTTGATAGGCATCCTCCATATCCAGGCTGATGAATACATCGTGTGCCTGGATCCGGGATCGCCTTAGGTGGTCATCCTGAAATAATCCTAAACATCATCCTGTGTTTGAATCCTTCTTGGGGACAAGGGAGCCCGATGTTATGGCTGGGGCGTGTATAACCTCTATTGCTTTCATGTCCAGCAGCGCCGAGATGTACTGGCTTAGTACTGGCTTGGTAGCTGCTGTTGAGTTGGGGGGGGTAGGTAGCGGCGCGTCGTCTATAAGCGCCAGCTTGTACCCATGTCGAATGATGTTGGTGACATATGGGTCCCCCAGGATCACACAATTCTGCCAGAAATGACCCAGTTTCCCACGTACTGGAGTGTCGACAACTTGGACGGCTGGGGGTGGAAGTCCCAGTCGTGCCTGTATGGCTATTCACTTGAAGTCCCTGTGGTCGACGTTACCTCCCTTGGAGTGGTCGCGGCGGGACTGTTATGTGCCCGATGCCTTGCCTTTTCCTCTGCCTCTGCCCTGAGAGGCTGAGGTGGTGCCGCGCCACTGGGGCTGGAAGGTGTTGCGTCGCAGCTGGTGTGAGCCAGACTGGGATGCCTCAGCGAAGGCTGGCTGTGACACCCTAGCCAGGGTCTTGATAGCTGTCTCTTCTGGGCCGAAGGCTGAGACTCGGGATTGAGTCATTGATGTACAGCGTATCTGTATAGGCGTCAGACGAGGCACTAGCGTCTGTATAGGCGTTCAACGAAGCTCTGTTTAAGGATAGGCGCTAACTGTATAGGCGCTAGTAGAGGCGTCTGCAGAGGCGCTGTGGACGGCGCTTGTGGAGGCGTTTGTATAAGCGCTGGGGCAATAGGCGTCCGCATCCATCATAGGCGTCTGGGCCGTAGGCGGGGTGCCTGTTGGGAGCCATGCGTCTGTCCGGTGGACTGGATAGGCGCTGTTGAGATAGACGCAGTAGTGGTTGTCAGGGAGCTCTGGGTAGAGACTGAGACCAAAGGGGCCCCGACATCATGGTAGTAATAGAGGTCGGGTAGTTGTCCGAGATATCCGGTCGGGTTGTGGGCGAATACTCGGATAAGTCAGACATCTGGCGCCGGTGTTTTCCAGGCCTGTTGCCTTCTCCGTTTCCTGGACATACGGAGGTACCGTCTGAAAGCTGTGGGGGAAAGCGGAGACCAGTCTCGACCTAACCGAGAGTTATTGTCAGGCTGCGCAGTACCAGGACACAACGCATACCTGACTCTTCCCTTCCATGTAATGGTCATCCACGCTGACATATTACGCTGGCACTTTGAGCATGAGGGCATGATATCTGCAATGAAGCAGTGTAAAATCACAATGCGTCCCCTTCCGATTACGTATGCTATAATTTGTTTATCCCACTGCGTGAGTTTATAAAACAATTATTACGGCAAACGTAAGACAACATACAAAACGAAGACAAAATACTTGCGAGGGTACGCCAATGGTTGGGTACAAAGCAAGAAGAATATAGAAAGCAAGAAGAATATAGAACGCAAGCCAGTTAATAACTGGCCACATGAAATATTCAAGATGGCTACTTGAAACAACAAGACACCTGGGTTTACCATTTATTGTTTTCTTTCTAAAGAAAACGCCAGCAGGTGTACAAAAGTTATGCACATGTTAAAACATACAACGTTTCACAAGATACAAACCGTGTGCACAACACAAGCACAATGAACATTAACTCAAGAAGCAAAACATGTAAGGGTTTGAGCAAGTTTATGCTACAGATCAAAAACAGGTCTTCTCTCAGCAAGTGACAAGAGTAATGTGAGGATCTGTGACGTCACTTCCTTTGGTCACGTGGGAGCTGCGTGATAACGTTGGCCTCTCAGCTAGTTGGAACAACTTCTTCAAGCAAAGACCTTCACACAGCTCTTTTCTCTGTCAAGAACAAGCAGTAATATGCATTAAGGAGTAATGCAGGATAAGTAAAAAAATTGTACATTTTATTTGGTGAGAGCACTTCTTCAGATTTGTCATTAGCAAGAAAATTGACTCTTTCACTGCAATTTTATGTCCCAAGGGAAATGATGTCCACTTCAGTGACTTCTTCAATCATCCGGTGAAATACTGTGACATATGGAAATACATAAATGCCTCTTCCTTTTTTTATATCTATTAACATGAAATCTTTTTTGACTTGTGCTCATCTGACATGTTGTAGCTGTCATGTAAACCTGACCACTTTACTATTCATGTTTACGGCTGCAATTTTCTTAACCTCCATTCAAATTTGTTACAGTATTTAGCAAAACGTCAGTCTTGCATCATATTTCCAGTCTGGAGATAACTATGTGTTTCCAGAGCTGTGGATGTTACTGCTTATTTGATACTGGAGGTTTCAAATGCTAACATTTCAGGGCATTCCATATGTTATGTTTTTCATTTTCTGTTTTTGAATTGACAATTTACAGTAATATATACGATACGTTCCTCAAAACACTTAAATACAGATAATGAAGGGTGAAATCCCTTGCCACAAACTGACGGCTTATACCATTTGTTTACTTGAAACTTGTTGGTTAATATCTTACGGTATCTGTACACAAGTACAGCCAACATAACAATAGCTGAATACAAGACACAAGTATAACTGAACACAAGACAGCTAGACACAAAATACAAGTATGCCTGGCAACAAGTATTCATACAGCTGGAAAAAAAGTATAGCTGCCCATATGACAAGTATAGCTGAACACAAGACATAAGCAGTTGGACTAATAAGAAGTATAGCTGCCCATATGACAAGTATAGCTGAACACAAGACACAAGCAGTTGGACTAATAAGAAGTATAGCTGTCCATATGACACACAAGCAGTTGGACTAATAAGAAGTATAGCTGCCCATATGACAAGTATAGCTGGACACAAGTATATCTAAACACAAGTATAGCTGCGCACAAGTATATCTAAACACAAGTATAGCTGAACATATGTACACGTGGACAGATGAGCAGATAAAAGTGTACTCACCAGCTGTTTTGGTTTGATCTGACTTAATATTTTGCGAACTGATTCACCATCAGATCGGCCCTCGAAGTCTATGTAGAGTACACTGGCGTTAATATCAAGCGTCACATTGGAGGAGATGCACTTTGTTGGAACATCAGAGACATCTGAAGCGTAATCAAAAGTTTCAAACAAATGCTATTAATCTCAAGCCAGTCGGCTTCAAAAACAGCATCAACTGAAAGTCATTTTGAGTCATTTCAACAGACAACACTTTGTACAATATTTCTCATTAAGCATTATACACTGAAACAAACAAATACATTTAGAAACTTAAAGTCTTGAAATATCAAATATCAGTCAGTAAGTATCAATATCAAGCTGCATTTTCAAAAATGATTTATTCATAGAAAGCACAAGAGTCGTCTTTTAAGGTAATGGAGGATACAAGACAAACTTCAAAGAAGCAATACTTTCAAAAATGGCTGCCATTATAAATGAATCAAATATCAATTATTTCCAATTACAGTTCTCAACAAGATGAGGAATTGTTCTACTGTTACAAAGTGATCAATTTCAATTATTGACGCAAACCTTATCTTTGATGAAAGCCATTTAAAATTCTTTCGAAATTAAATGTAACTTTGACAAAGACCAACCTAACTCTAAATCAACTGGAGGGGCGGTCGGGTTGCCTAGCGGTTACAGCCTTCGCTCGTCACGCCGAAGACCCGGGTTCGATTCCCGCAAAGGGTACAATGTGTGAAGCCCATTTCTGGTGTCCCCTGCTGGTAAATTGCTAAAAGCAGCGTTATATCATACTCACTCACTCACTAAATCAACTGGAAGCCCTTGGTGTGGTCAAAGTCATCATGGTTAAAGTGTCCACAGACTGAAGACAACTGCTAAAGTTATGCCAAGGTGAGATAAACAAGAAGACAAAGTGTGTGATATTCCCTGCCCTTTTAAATATGTGCATTGAATCAAAGTACATATATACCTCATCATACAATAAAGGTTAATCCTTACGCTTGCGAGTACAACAAAACGATTACCTCTATTCTTCAAATGCTTTCAATACATTCCAGAGCACTTTTCAATAGACAGAGTTTATTTTTTGACAGCAGTGTTGTACATAATATTTTCAAAGCTCTAAATCATAATTCAGTATCTACACAGAGACAAGATTAAACAATTCATGGATTGATGTGTGATGCTATGGTGGTTTCGGAATAAACACAGCATTATGAGTAATGTTCCCCTCTGTCTGGGTACAGTGTCACACAGTCAAGCAAGTCACCAAGCAAGTCACCAAGCCTGACCACCCGATCCACTTAGTGTCCTCTCAAAACATGACCACCCGATCCACTTAGTCTCCTCTCAAAACATGACCACCCGATCCACTTAGTCTCCTCTCAAAACATGACCACCCGATCCACTTAGTCTCCTCTCAAAACATGACCACCCGATCCACTTGGTCTCCTCTCAAAACATGACCACCCGATCCACTTGGTCTCCTCTCAAAACATGACCACCCGATCCACTTAGTCTCCTCTCAAAACATGACCACCCGATCCATTTAGTCTCCTCTCAAAAAAAACCTATGACAGAGGAGACCTACGTATTTTAACCAGGTGTCACTGTTGTTTTATGTAGGAATATCTCACATGTTTCCAAAGTTTAAAGAAATATTTAATGGTTTACAAGTTATGCCCTGCAAACTGAAACCCTCATTTGAACCCAAGTACAACTTATTATAGACTTAGTAATGAAAGAGTAATTATTTAAACAAACGCCCGAATAGCTAAAGGCACCAGTTTAGCACTTGCCAAATGTTTGTACAGTTTCATAAAGACATATTGAGTGAGTGAGTGAGTGAGTGAGTGAGTGAGTGAGTGAGTGAGTATGGTTTTACAGCGCTTTTAGCAATATTCCAGCAATATCACGGTGGGGGTCACCAGAAATGGGCTTCACACATTGAACCCATGTCAGGAATCGAACCCGGGTCTTCGGTGTGACGATAAGATATATTGAAGTTAATGGGTTATGTTCCGGAAATGAACCCTATCCTCATTTGATCCTTAGTCAAACTTGTTGCCATGGAAATGCAAAAAAGTAAAATTTAAAAATTCCTGAATAGCAAAAGATATCGTAAAGATCGTAAAGTGCATGTCTGTAGTTTCATGAAGAAATATTGATTTATTTCTAAGTTCTGCTCAGGAAAACGAAACGTGTTGAATGGATGGGAGGATGGATGGAACATGTCATTTCTATCCCTATCGCAAAACGTTGTCTGGGCAGTAGATAATTTCGGACAAAGAATAGTTTTCACCAGCAGTTAAATGATCCATTCTGAATTATTCGAGTAATGTCATAAATTATAGCTGCCATGGTAGACATATTGAAAATCGGATATGATGCTCTTAAACAAATTCAGGTATCACACATGGTGGGCAAAAGGTTGTGAAGCCTTCGCTACACTGGTCAAGTGGTTTCTGTGATGTGTTTACAGTGCAAGAAAAAGCATTTTCAGAGAATCAAAGAGCATGGCCAAAGTGCAAAGGTCAAATTGAGGTCAATCTTCAAAATATCACCAAAAAATGTGCTGACTCATTTTTGACTACACATGTACCTAATTTCATTACATTTTTAACAAGAGGGCTGGCCTGAGCAATGGACATTGGAAATTTCAGCTTTCAGTATGCTGGAAGAGCAAAAGTCAAATCTAGGACAAATTTAAAATATCAAAAAAATGGAACCTATATATTAAACCAGGGGTCCGGAAAATTTAAAATCCCAATCGGACATTTGCATTTAGGCCACGCCCCCTTCAAATAGCGTATTTTAGTACGACTTTTCACACACATTACAAGTTTCCGTATTCATAATATGATGAATTATGAATTGTTTCAATTTAAATTGTTTAATTCACCGGACAATTAATAACAAATAATATCATTTTAGATTTACATGGAAAACATACTTTTGTTTCTGTTATAATAACGATCTATTATTGTAGTGAACGGTCTAATTAATATTCATGAGTTATATTCATGAGTCTGCTCAAGTGTACGGGTTGTAACATTTGGATCGAGACTATTATCCCATATTTGGTTATCACGTGACCTCACGGGAAAAGTTTTTTTTTAAACTAAAGATTTTTTAAAAAACAAGACAGATAATTTAATCACAAATACTAAAATATCGTTGAAAGCAATAGTTATTTGAATACTTTTTTCATCTGTACTTAATTATTGACCATAAAAAAATTGGATATTGATCGTCCGGGAAAGCAAAATGGCGGTCAATCAAGATTCAATATACGACTAGCTACTGAAAAAATTAAAATCTGCAAATCCTCATTGTATGTCAACCAAGTGAAAGTCGTTAGCCACGACTTACAAAATGATCGTCCAGACTTTGAGGGTTTAGCAGATCCGCTCGACTGATCTGCATCGGTCGACTGGCTGTCGTCACGCTTTCGCTTCTTGTCTGAGGTTACGTATTGTAGCATTGTGAGGATAATGAGGTACATCGATGATGCAAGGTATTAATGTACAGTTGTAAACACCTTTCACTCAAATTAACAAGATGTTCTCAGTAATTAATCCTCGATTAATCAGTGTCAACTCAGTTTATTGCCTATTACAGTGATTGACCGATTGGACTATCATGTAGGTACGATGTATTTACAGCAATCAAAACAAACAAAGCTTGTCAGTGTAGTTAATCTTCATTGTGTTGCAACTGCAGACAGAAACTGCTCAGTCCTAACTGTTGATCATGTCCGGTCAAAATTTAAGAATGTCCGGACAATACTTTTTAAAATGTCCAGTAAGCAATATTTTAAAACGGACATTTGAGATTCCCAATCGGACATGTCCGGCGCATATGACGGTTTCCGGACCCCTGTATTAAACCCTGCTATAAATGACACATGTACCACATTTCATGACATTTCTTATTACATTTCTTACAATAAGGACAAAGAAATGGCCACAAAGAGGTTTTTTAATACACCTGCGAAGGCTGCCATAATTGAAAATTACATTTTAACTTCTTGAGCAAATTGGGGTATCATCATTGGTGGAAACAAGTGTGTGAAATTTCAGATGAATTGGTTCCGTGGTTTCAGGGTAGAAGATGTATATGCCATATGAGTTAATGAGTGAGTGAGTTTGGTTTAACACCGCTTTTAACAGTATTCCAGTTATATCACGGCGTGTCAGCTTAATGTGGGAGGAAAGCCCGAAGTGATGCAGGTCTCAGACGTTTACCACTTCGGTGAAACCCACGAGCACCGGTATGGTGCTGACAAACCTAGAAACATAATCGGGGCGGACCGGGATTCGAACCCACAATCATAGGTTTCTGGCGTGCCTAAGGGACGCAACTCTGCACAGCAAATCGCAGCCTTAGACGACTGGGCCACCCGTGCCCCCAAATGCCATATGAGGCAAGCTGCATAATGCATGCTGGGTAAACATGAAATGACCTAAGCTCACTTAACCTTCAGTCAGGTGAGCTAAGAAAAGCATTTGCAAAAGATACACCATATTAATCTGGTAAACATATTGCTCTATGATGACTGCAAAAACATCCACTTACCTCCTCTAAACCAAACATGCCACATTCTAATGCAATTAACACCTACTTTCTTTTAAAAAAAATACCGCCATTTTGCTATTCACTAGCAAGTAAAACTAATTCCTATATTAAAAATATATATCAGTTAACCAAGATGTGAGATAACAAGAAGCATAAAAACAACAAATGGAGTGCCTCTCTGTCCCAAATTTCTTGCTATTTGCTCCAAATTAATCTTAAGATTCTCATAAATCAATCACTTTAAGGGAAATGCAAGTTTTCAAATCTCCAATTAGCTTAAATAATTTGGAGATCCTTCCAAATGATCCAGCTATTGCCAATAGATTGGGATTATGTGATCACTATTTGATACGGAGATGGAGTTATTTCAATACAATACTGATTTTTTGGGCAATTTGTAAGGCTGTAAATTTCCAATAAGGGTCAAAGGAGGCTGATATTTCTGAGTCAGTTAATGCTGTGAGAGCTTTTAATACACAATTTGCTTCTAGTAAGACTTTTTTTGCCCACGTTTCTCAAATGAATTCCAACAGATGTAAAAAACATGCGAAGGGCTTCC